AGCAGCTCCAATAACTCAGAATGTCATGTGAATTCCAGTATCATTTAATGCACTGAAAGCAAGCGTGGCGTGCTTCATTGTGTACTATGCTGCACTACACAAAAGTCTGTAAAAGCCACCTGAATGAAATGAACAATTATTTCTGTTTCAATAAGGAAAGGCACTTGACCAGTGAATACAGAATAAAGTCTTAATMTGTACAGATTAGCAAATAAGGCAAGACTGCAGCACCCCTTGATAAACACCAAATTAACACTTAAAAATAGAAAAAATATCTTTCTTCTTTTACCTTAGAGTAAGTAGACAATCTGCCTGCTTTCTGGGTAGAAATATAGTCATAACTCCAAATTGTTTGTTTTATGAAACATCATAATGAAATGATGCCATTTTAACTTATAATCAATATATTACTGTTCAGGTTATTTTGAAAGTTTCAAAGTAGATTTTTATAATTTTTTTATTATGAAATACAAAAGAAATCACCCCTAAATAGCACTTTCTAACTACACAACTGTTCCTGACATCTGTAATAAAATTTTATTTCCTATCTCTTCTTGTCCTCAAATCCACCCATCACAACTTGTCAATTAACCACACTGAGCTCTCTTAACTTTCACTTCCAGTTTTTTCTATTTTTTTCCTGCTTGCTGCTGCCCCAGCAATATGTAGGAGCACGATGTTAGACAGGCACATCAGCTCTTCAGAAGGCTGTGGGGATTAGAAGTGGCTCTCTCAAGTGGAAGGCAGGATTCTGCCTTGCAAGGCTGCTCTCTGTGCCCAGGACAGCAGGGTGACACTCAGATATTATTACAGTAAAATTAAACCTCCCTGCCTGAGAAAGAATGATAGATTTTTATCTCAGCTCTCTCCTCCACAAGTCCTAGCAAACAACAATGGTGTCTTCATGCCTTTGAGCTTCTCTCCATTGTTTTTTGACCCCCTTGCTATGCAAGGATAGGCTTTTGGCTGGCAGGAGAGAGGGGCTGCCTTGGTCACAGGAGCAGTCAGGGAGCAGCCACAGAAGGGAAAAGGAAGAACTATCAGTACATGCAATTATCAGCATTATCAATTTCTAAAGTATTTTTGTGTTGAATGCTGCCAATACAAARCACAGCCTGTGGTTTATGGATGCAGCTCGACCACACCAGCAATGACCTGTACCTTTAGCTGCACACACCATGGATTCCTATGCCTGCTTCTCCTTTCCATCTCTGTATTTGACACAAACAGTGARCACAGCCAAGAGCCTGTGACCAGAATAGGCACAGGCATGGCTCAGCCACATCCAATTCAGGCGCACAGAAAAAGTGCTAAAGCCAAACATATTGCAAAACCACAAGATCGGGGGGAACAGAAAACATGTGCTTGGTTCTTTCTACACAAGGGACACAGTCACACTTCTCTGTGCAGTGCAGCCATCAGGCTTTCCCCACCAAGGCTTTTTATCCTCCCCTCCCCAAAAAACAAGCACCACACGGGGTTCACTTTTATTTTGCCTGACCTTGATAGGCGGGGGTGATCTGATCCCAAGGGTTGCACTGTCACCTTCAGCAATGAACACTTTCCCATTTTGCTTTTCCAAACTTTCATCCCAGGTGCACGTAGAGGCACTTACGATATTGCCACGTGGCAATTATAATTAAGTGAATTATAGCAATATTTAACTAAAAATGTTCACAAATTCTGACATCCAAACAAAGCATTTATAATGTGACTCTCCCTTCCCTGGCCTTTTCCTCACTCTACAAACAAGAGGTGCCAGAACAGCAGACCAGGAATTTAATCCAGCTCCTTGTACCCCTTTCTGCCTTTTTTTTTTGTTTTTTTTTTGCCTTTTTTCGCTTCTCTGACTTGCTAGTGAGACAAATAGCAATTTCTGTGTAAAGCAAAGCCACAAATGTGAGTCTTTAATTAGATCTGGTAACAGAAACATTCTTTGTAAACTATTTCTCACCCAAGACAGATATTTGCAGCCATATATCCCAGAGTTACCTCACCCTTGGTCATGAAAAAATTCTATTCACACTTTAAAATTCTGTGAAATGATTAGAAAATAAAAAGAAAAAAAAAATCAGTTATAGGATATGTATTGCAGAAGCTTCCGTTTCCAAAGTAATGTTTTATCTCACACTTTTGTGTCAGATCTGGAAAGATTGCTGCAGAGGTTTACATGGTAATATGCATTATTATGGTAAAATTCAGGTATATTTTGACAGCCTTCAGTGGGCTGTTACAATCTCCTGTTTTCCTTAGAAAGTATCACCACAACACCAAGCTGAGCCTCTSGGGCTCGGTGAAATTTCTCATTAAACTGATGTTTAAGTACGCTAGGGGTTTTCCTTAGTGTGGCAACTTGCCAATTTAACGTTGGGGAAATTCAGATGCAGATGAATTAAGTTTATAAATAAGCTTGCTGAAATGACAAATGGGATTTGGAAAGCTGGAACAGGAGTTTCTGTTTCTCCTGTGTTATAAGGCAGTGCCCTCCACTGGCCAAATGTCCTCACTTTAAAACAAAAGAGCAAAAATTCACTTCAACTCCAGAAAAAAAAACCCACCCCAAAATACCTCCAAAACCCCTCAGAATCAGTGTCAAATTCTTATGAAAGGTTATTGCATAATGGCACCAATTTGTACTAATGCCAGCCTTGCTTTCATATTACATGGCAATAAAAATACTTTGGGTGCTGAAGTAAATCCCAAGGCAGCCCTTTTAAAAGAGTTCCAAATTAGAAGTGACAAGACAAAAATGGGTAGTGCTAAAAAGTGTAATTTAACACAAGACCACACAGTGGTAAAAAAGCATAGAACCAGATTAGCAATTACTAGTGTCTGTTAAATTTTCACTATTTTGCCTTTTTTTTCTGTTCAGAAATGACAGATTCTCATGAAAATCCCCCTTTGAAGCAGTGAATAATKGCTTTGAGTGCCACGCTGAGGAGAAAACTAGTTGCATCAGTATAGTATATCTAATTGCATCAGTAATACCTGTATTAGATGCACATTAGAGTGTCAGTGAATAAGAGTCAAGAGCCAACAGACAATGAGAAACYGGGAAACAAGAGGGATATGTATTTATGCACTCCATTCATCTTATGGTGGGGTGCCCCAGGGACACTGTCTTAGTCATAAAAAATGTTAATTATGAGTTTGTAGTAGATTCAATCATCCCACACAAGATYACTATCTAATTACTGGATTATATTATGTATTATATTCAGTGTGATAGAGTTGCTGATGGGAAGGTGAACCATTTCTTTAACAAGATTAAAAGCAATAGGCTGTAGGAGGAAGTTTTAATAAAAACACAGAGATAAATGGAGCTGGCAGAGATAGACCAAAACCACAAACAGATTACATATATGCTTGGTGTTACAAGTTGCACACTTAGATTTTCAAGCAGAGACAAAGAAGGACAAAAAATATTCTTAAGACCCTGGTAAAACTTTCACTACTATGTACAAATAGTGGAAGGCTGAAAGTCAGATGATGGGCTTTTTTCAAGGGCTTAACAATAACCATTTTCTTTGAGCACATGCTAGGTCTTAAAGCTTACATTAGATCATTTTTAGCTTTTGTCCCATTCACTTTGTATAAAATTTCTGTGTTAGTGGTCAATGAAGAAAATGAATCATATTTCATCCCTGCCAATGATATGACAACCTACTTCCACCAGAAAAAACAAAGCACTGTTCCTAAACTTGTTCTTAAAGAGAAAAGCTAGATTCCAAGACTAACCATGAAGCATCCTCCTTTGAATACAAATTTGATTTTCCACCCCAGTAAGCAGCAGTGCTAAGGGCACTCTCCCAGTCTCTGCAGAGCCCAGCTCTGGTGAGGTGGGAAGCAGCTTTGGTCTGCTCTTCAGGCAGCCTGGAGGGAGCACAAACACCAACAGACAACAATAACCCAAATCCCTGTCTTCATTGAGCCTCAATCCTCACACAAGTCCTGCTCACCACTGAAGATTGACTTGGGATGCTCTTTTGGTATCAGGATTCACCAGTGAGGACATAGAGCAATTCAGTCACCYAATCTATCWTTTCCCTGCTCCTCAGGGTTCCTCTGATTGTTTAATAGCCACATTCTAATGCTGGGTTGTCCYGCTAATAATTTTGCAGGTGACATCWCCCTTGTACAATCTRGAGTCRGTTMTGTGCTATGAGATTGAAGCAAACACCCAGGGGATATGGGAACAGCAGATGTCAGGYTGCTCCCACCTTCAAGTCTCTGTTCTTCCATTGCTTTAAGACCCCCAAGTGGAGCAATGAGCCATTTCCACAGCCACAACACCCACATTACCACACACGAGTACAGCACGAGTACCTTGGTGCTTTCCAAAGCTCAGCACAGAATTGTGTCAGCTGGGATTGGGTGAAACCCATGGCTCCTAACACAGCTTGAGCTGCTGGGACAGAGCCTCAGAACGAAGAGCAATTGCTGGTGTCGCTCTCRGGCTGTGAGAAGCAGTTCAGCCCCACTGTCCCTGTGGGGAACAGGTGGAGTCTCASTGCCCTGGCAGCCTGTTCCTGCTGCAGTTCCAGTTCAGCTGTTSCCCGAGGGAACACACTGACCATGGCCATTGTGTGTGGATCTCACCTCCCAGTGCTGAGCTGCAGCACTGCCCTGCTCCCTGCCCAGGGAGCAGCTGACATTTACCTTTGTGTGACCTCAGGGAGCCACAAAATGCACACTTGACTGCAGTTGCTTAACCACACTGACATATAGAATTTCTAACTTTTGCTTTTCCTTACAGTGGAAAGAGGYTTAGACATCACAGCTTTAAACCACAGAGCTCTGAAAAACAAAAACAGGATGTCTGCCTCTAATGCTGGTGCTATGTATATTTTTCCAGACACTGTGCTCTCTGGGACCAGGCTGGTGTAATCTTTCAGTGCAGCCTATTGGCCAAATTTTCTCTTTCCTGATGGAAAGTTAGCTCTGACAGAAAATATTGCCATGCCATTTCTGAGATGAGTTAAGGATTGTTGCWCACTCACTGTGCCACGTCGGAGGCTGCTGGCAGTGGTGACTCCTCGGGTACCACGTCCATGTCATCGGTGAAGCTGTTGGCCCGTGACATGTCTTGGTTGTGCCCTTCCAAACGTCTTCTCTCTGCAAAATGATTCAAAGAAATCATAATACATTAGGGAGACAAATCAGCTTGGGATGCTGTGCAGCACATTAAAGAAACCATCCTAATACGAGACCCAACTTTGGGTTTAGTCAGAATCAGTAATGTCAGTGTTTAGAATGTACACCATACATCAAGTGAAAGCAGAAATCACAGCTCTGTGGCTCATCATATTTGGGTGGTGGAATTATGAGATTCCCCACTACTCTCAGAGCCACTTGACTCAATTCAAAGTATTTGTTTTGTGAAGTATTAAAGCCTTCACCAGAGAATACCTGTTCAATCCTTGTAACCCTGATAAACATTGTTCAATATTGATTTCCTTTTATGCTTTTATCACTCATTAATTCTACATATCTCTGCTATAAAATATTTACACATTAATAATGTTTTCTGGTCCCTAAATTAATGCTAATGGGAAATTCATGTAATACATTGTATTTTCTAAACATTTTCAGTGCTTAAAGTGGTTGTCAGAACTGTGAGCAGTTATCTTCTTATTCAAAACACTCTTTCTGGAACCAACTCAGTTTCTGATGGTAAGTCACTTTCCTTGAACCTCCAAAACTCCTTTAGACAGCAATGTTTAGTCATAAATCAAAATTCCCCAAAATCACACTAAATGGAACTTTTTTTTTTATGTCAAGAAGCTATAAGCTCCTGAGCAATAAAGCAATTCATAATAATCATTCATGATAGTACTTTTGCTGTGAGGAAACATGGAGCATTATAATACATTCAACACATGGCACTGATTTTTTCCAGAAATAAAACTCACAGTTGTAAGGCCCAGCTACTACATATGGTAGTTTGTAACAGCTGCAGCTCAAGCCAGAACAACTCTGTCTTCCCTCTCTATATTTATTTTYGTAAGATGTCCTTGTCCAAACTGACTTTATGGGAATTAATGCCCCACATTTGACKTTGCAAAGTATTAAGCAGGGGAGGCAAAGAAATATGAAGAGGAAAAAGAAGAGGAGCCATCCCTCCTGTCCATGTGTTACTACTCACAGTATGAAGAAGTTGTACCTGTTTCATCATAAAATATCTAATATTTTATGAGCAGGCAAAGTTGGAAGCAGCAAATTGAAAATACAGAATAATATCTACCCCAGTACAACAAATTCCAGTGAATGCCAGAGAGCCAGGGATCCCTGACACAGATCAAGAGATTAAATCAAACAGCAAAAAGAAAGCTGTTTCATATACGTCTTCTTTAAATTTCAGTGTCAGTTCCTAAAATGGTGAAATCATATAATAAACACATCCAAACACAATCCATTTTTAATAATGCTGCTTGGCTTTATCTACCCTTAGATTTCTTATCTTCATGACACTAACTTCTATCTTTGTATTGTGGGGAAAAAGCAAGCTGCCAAATGACAAAGGCAACAGAAAACACAACTGCACATGGTTCCCATTATCGTGGTCATTCCCAAACAGCCAATGCCTATCAACAGCAGGACAAAATAACAARGAAGATTTTGCACTATCTTCTTCTCAGATAAAGAARGGGGGAAAATGAAAAAGCAGGTCTCTGTTCCTTCAGTGCCACTGTCTCATYATCACTTTCAGCTCAGAAGCTGCTAAAACCCAATCTGTCCTGATGCCAGGCTGCACCACTCCATATCACCAATACATAGAAATAAAAAAAATSATTTCATTTCATGTGTAAGGCTGCACCTTGACAGAAAATGCCTGGCATAACTGTACTTCCTTATCCACAGGGATGAACTGCCTGTCACGTTTTGTCCACTTTCCTGTGGCAGGAACCTGAATCACCTCACTTAAAAATATCATATTTGTAAAGCCGCATAGAGGCAAACTGCTTTGGGCCCTAGACTGGGACATTGCCAAATCCTTACTTTCCTCAGAAAAATAAAGGAAAATTAACAGTTTATGAAAGCCCAGAGGCCTAGGAGTGTCTGACACCTGAACACCAGCCTGATTTTAAAAAACTTCTTCAACTTGCTTTAATTGTCATTCATCTCAGCAGGCAAATGGCATTCGACTCCTCTGAGGAGTCACATTGGAATAGTACAGCAAAACATAATTAGCATGGACTGAATAATTTCTTTATCAAAGTTATGCTTTAAGAGCTTTTCTTCATTACTCTGGGAAGCTACAGTAGTGTCAGGAGTGTACTCAGGAGTGTAGTCAGTACTACTCTAAATAAGATATTTTTATTTTCGCTTTATATTAAAGTGTTATAAAGCTGAGCACCTGAAACTGTGATTTTACATCCTTACTATGCACTCCAATGTAAACCATCGGCAAATGCCACATTCTCACATTGTTCCAGACACAACCCTGAGAGCTACAAGTGACCAGTAGAGTTTAAAAAGCCAAGCTTATTTCTTTACCTAATTTTAGGCAGCTAAATTTATTATCATTCTAGATGTGGTTGTTTCAAATTCGGGAGAATGTACAAGAATTTAATTTTGCCCCAAAAAAAACCCTGCAGAATCACACCAAAATTAATTAGGCAGTGGTTTGCTAGCAGAACAGAAATAAAAGAGCATCTGGGAAGATGAATTGAGGAATAAGAATAAATTTAAATTTGCTGCAGACACATTGCTAACTCCATGCAAAAAGTGCAGAGCACTCTTCCTGCTGTAGTTACAGGATGGGCTGCAAGTGTTTTAGATAAACTTCAACATCTGGTTTCCTGTGTATCTGATTTGAAACAATCAGCACTCCAAATGCACTAATGCTGCCTTTATTTGCTGTACATTCTTTTGTTTAGATAAGCCTGCAGGCCAAGTTACACGGTGTTACGCTCCCTGGAACTCAATCACTCATTACAGGGCTGATGGGACAGCATGGGGATGTAAATGAATACCAACACATTACTGAAAATCACAAGGGCATGTAGCACTGGAAAAAGGCATGTAGAGCTGCGAAACACGCAGAGAGAAAACAATTAAACATAACCATAAAGGCACATGAGGGTGTCTTATCTACCCAGCTGCCAGAACATCCTTTTCAGATGAAAAAAAAAAGAACAGAAAAAAGGCCCACAAACTACAAACCAAACAAAAAAAAAAACAACCCAACAAACTCCACACTTTTTCTGCAGCATCATAAATATGCCTACCTCAGAAGACATATTTCAAAATGATTTTTTTAAAATGCAGTATATTTGCCTAAAACATTGAGCAAAATATTTTGCATGGAATAGAGTGAGCAAGAGTCCATTCTGGTGAAGCTGCASAGTGTCTGGCACTCAGTGACAAGCAGGTTTGTTGACAGACTCTGAAAGTGCTCCGGGACCAATTGCACCAAGAGCTGCAAGGATCTCCTCATGCACAGATAGGATCTGTCAGAAGGGAACTGAAGATTGCTGGAGCCCAGCAGAGAAGTCCTGGGCTTTCTTCCTGAAAAAAATTACTGCCCTTTTTCTCTTATGAAAGCTGTTTCTTCTAAACGTACACAAAAAAAAGTAGACTTCCAAACTCATTTGGCATGGAGGGTATGAGTGGGTAAGGTCTGGCAGTGAGGCTGGAAAACACATTTTCCTCCTTGGCTGGGGAAGGGAAGCACCAGAGACACCCCCAGAGTGAACTGCACAGTAGGGAKATTAATGAATGGCTATTAATGAATGGCTATTAATGAATGGCTATTAATGRATGGCTATTAAACTGTGCCTCGTGGCAGCAGCATGAGGATTAGCACAGCAGGAAAACACAGCAGTGAGCTGCTTTTTATGSTCACCTGAGGCCAAACACTGCCACRGCTGCTCCAGGAGGGATGTGMCCAGGACACCTTTGGGAAAGCATCTAACCAAACCTGGYAATTCAAATTACTCCAGGAAAGAAAAGCTTTTCAATATTCTACAGCAAACGATTTTGACTCATTTCAATTTTGAAAAGCACTTCTTTATTCTCTTAAGACTTATTCTGTTTCTTTTGYTTATCTGACACAATCCTTGTGCCCACAAGTATTTTTAACATATTTTTGAGCTTGAAATACCATCTACACCTTGTGAATATGTTCAGAGATTAGCTCTCCAAAACCAAATTCAAGTCATCAATACTAATGCATTTAACTCTTTAAGGCTGGAAATACTTGACTGTTCATTCAGTTGAATACTTGACTGTTCATTCAGTTGTTCTGAAGAACAAAATATACAGAAATAACAGTGAAGAAAAATGAGAGAAAAATAGCTCACTGCTCACTTTTTTTTTTTTTTTTTTAAGGACAAGAACTTGACCCTAAAGTGAAACAATTAATAGTCAGTGAAATGTAATTTGGCAGCTTGTTAGCTCTGCAGGGACAGCTCTTAACACATACAAACTCTTAGAATTACACATAGGGAATGTATCATGTAATATAAATATATATAGTTACATTCCATTATGGGATTCAGAACTGCCATTATAGTAAAAGTGTTTATTTTAACAAGGAAGTACAGTTTTAGTGTGGCTATTAAGGAAAATAAACCAGCCTGAAAACATTTTCATTTTTTCATGACTGTTAATGGTCAAAGCATACAAACTGCAGYGACAGTAAAAATAGAAACATCTTCTGAATTGTTGTCAATGTTTTGACTCACAAGAACACAAAAGCCAATTACTGTAATTACAGTGAAATATGCCACAATTATTTGCTGGTCCTGTGCAGTTCTTGCCCTCCCACACTTGAATCCTTGTAGAACAATTTCYCTATTTACTACTGTTAATCACAAATTCAATACACACAACATTGTTACCAACCTGCCTGTTCCATACTGACCAGAAAAAAAAAAAAATCAGTATATTACAGTATATCTTAATAATAGAGGAAATMATTTCCATGTTTGTTCTCAAGCTCAAAACAAGTTCAACAGAATAATCTGTAGCTGTTGACTGCACTAAATTAAAACTATTCCTAACCAAAGCTGCAGCTGTTATTTCATACATTCCAGGTGGTAAAGAAAAAACACTTTATGGGAGTATTCCATACTTCAAATACATTTGCTCCAAATGCTTACTTGTYAAAT